CAATGTAATTATCTAACATATAATAAATATTACTTAATGTTCATCAGTCGGTTTCTGTTTAACAAATAAAAAATATATTCTAAAAAATATTTGTTCTATATAATTTTAATTATTTTTTACTTATCATTATATTTCTTTATAATGGTCCCCTATTGTTATAATTAAAATGCAATTAATAACATTTCTATGTTATTTGCCCAGGAATGTTAATTACTGTTACTTTGTTAATAACATGTTGTGAACGTTCTGGTGCGGTGTGTGGACGATTTGATTTTGATGTAATTGAATTTGAAAATGCAGTCGGCATCATTGGATAGACTATTGGTGGAAGAGTTTCAATACTCTCATGGACTTCCAAAATTTTCTTAGCCGGTTTAACGGTTGTAGACGTATCTCCGAGTTCAATGACCGTTCCTTCACTAGTAAGTGGAGCAGTTTTATTTCTATGTATAAATAGTTTTTTGAACCTGTTTCCAGCAACAACTCCTACAAATATTATACATATATATTTTAAAGAAATTGTATTCATTATTTATAATTAAATATTACATACCATTGTGCAGAACACTTGTTGACTGAACTTGTTCCTAAAATAGCAACAAATGTAGGAAAGCGTTGTTCTTTAAATATAATTATTAATAAGGATCTTTACCTTTTTAACAACTAGTTCTTTGATTGGTTTAAATGGATTAGAATGTGTTGATATCCTTGATGATGTATCAGATATTGAATCTTGTGTTTCAGTAACTCTCACAATGTGAGTATTTTGTGCATCTTTGAGTCTATTGTTTAATACGGTGTAATTCTTTACAATTATATCCAATAGCCATCTGCATAAATTATATATTGCTAGTTTTAAAAACTACACAACAGAACTTCTTAAAAAAGAATAAGAAAATTAATAACATACTTATAGCCATTCTTAATACCTATAGAATTATCTTTTAATTGACTTTCTCCTTCTATGCATGAACATATTTCCACTCTTGTAGGACACTTCATAGTATTAGCTACATATTCTACATCCAAGTTCTCAACAAGATCTAGCTCATCAATCGATCCATTTATATCTTGTTTGTTTGCAAGCCTATTTCCAAAATATATTATGATAACATTAGCACCATGTATATATATAAATATAGTGTGGATATCACACATAAATAAATCTTAGTGCAAATTTAATTGGTGCATATTGTATGTACAAATGGTGTTCTATGTCTTGTAGAAAATACAG